CATGGTTGGCTACCATTTTTGTTTTAGTGCAATTGCTCATTTTTGGGGGGGAAAAGATCAATTTACGATCTTGGCTGATCGCAAAATTTACTTAATAAAGATCGTAGAATCCCATCAATTTCCAGGTAGGCCGAGCAATTTATGTCAGTCTCCTTCAATAAACTAATTTTATAAGATAAAAGTGGTTACTGAGTCGAAAAGTTTAAAATAGATGTACCTAATTTTTCCAATTTATCGCCAAAATTCAGATTAATTGATAAGCTTTATCAGTAATAGACTTTAGTAAACCTGATAATTAAGGTGACATCAAAAAATAAAACCCTAAAATCTTCTGTTTAATGTTCATAAATTGATCCCATCACTTTTATCCCTTCACTACGGAAGGAAACCAAGCACATTGAGAGCATTTTGTTTTCACAGTTGGAAAGAAACTCCAACTAAAGACATCCCAATAGAATGCACCTATTCCATTATACATGATACTACTGGAGGGACGTAAATAACATTGAACATGACAAAGAATCAAGAAAGAAAAAAAATTTAGTATAGATCTTATGTTCACGAAGGTTTTCATTTATTCTGTTAGTTTATTAAATTATTACTTGTTGGTTTTGATATATTCAATCGTGATATTTTTAAAGACTTAAGAACTGATTCTTATTCTAAAAATAGTATTTCTCATAAAAATATATATATATATATATATATATATATATGTGTGTGTGTGTGCAAATATATATGTGCAACTACGAAAATTAAAATTTATAATTAAATTGAAGTTTCTAGCTCCTGTCTTAGAAACATGAGAACTCTCGTTTTTAGAAAACTCTAATGTAGCGATGGAATCATATTTTTAAATAAATAATAATAATTATATATATATATATATATATATATATATATATATATATATAGAGAGAGAGAGAGAGAGAGAGAGAGATGTTTCGTTGAATAATTTAGACATGCTCTGGCTACTTATTTTCGAAAGGATCATTTCATATTCAAAGATAAGCTTTTTGGTGTCATTAATGAAGAATGATAGACAATGCCGTGTTGATACATGTTTTTTTTTTATTTTCCGAATACTTTCGACATAGCACGATATGTCATCATCAGGGTATTGTTTATTACACGATAAATGTTGTAGTGTTCATCACTGTGAAAGACAAAAATTGTTATGATGATCTGAAAATTAAATTTCTTATATTTGGAGAGAGAAGTGCTGAATCAAAGCGTGACCACTGACACCGTTTAAGAGGAGGTAACTAGGTATTGTGTGGTGAGTTTTTACGAAATGAGTAGCAGAAAAAAAGTATTAGTACAAACCTTGGCATTTCAAACTATTTCAAATTGAAAAATATAAAATGGCGATATACACACACCCTGTGTATTTTATTTTTGTAGTTGAAGGTATGTAAGCGTGTGTACATGTATTTTTGTATATGTCTATATATGTGCATATATTATTTTTTATATTACCTGATTTTTATTTTTTTATAAATGAATAAATAAAATGAAAAGATCCTCATGGTTTTCTATAATTGGTTCAGAATCATGCAACTACTACTAATAATTCTACTACTACTACTACTACTACTAAAATTATTATTATTCCTAATAATAACAATAATAATAAAATATGCACAGAACAACGAAAGCTAACCGACCAGACATCGTGATCAAAGACCACAAAGACAGAACGTGTTTTCTTATTGATATGGCAGTCCATATAAATTGTAATTTTATTTGAAAACTTCAAAAAACTATCAGAATACAAAGATCTTGAAGTGGAATTCTAAAACGTGTGACATATAAATACATCTATAATTCCAGTGGTAGTTGGAGCCTTCGGATTGATTGGAAAAAGTTCCAATAGAGTTATTGAAGAGATTCCAGCCTTAAAGAAATACGGAAAAAATACTCACAAATACAGTTCAAACATTACAAAGTGCTTTATGTAAAATATGTGATCTTTGTTTTTACATAAATGATCAGCAGAAAATGTCATGAAGCCATTTCTGAACTTAGGTTTCTTGTTGGTACTCTAAAGGAAGTGTTTATACAACGGAAATCAAATTAAGTAATAATAATAATATTAATAACTCCATAAAACTAGGTTAAAAATAAAATCGTTGCAAAATCCAATTCTTATTCTTTCTTGTAAAACAAAGTAATGTTTAAAAAAAATTGTGCGAATTCTTTTAATCAAAAGCACGCTGTGTTTTTTCCAAAATACAAAGTCTTGTCTCTTGAAGTGAAAATCTCAAAAAAGTATGGCACATGAAGACATCAATAATTCCAGTTGTAGTTGGAGCACTCGGATTGATTGGAAAAAGTTCTGATAGACTTACTGAAGGAATCCCTGGAAGCCCATGACTTAAAGAAATACAAAAAATTGTACACTTAAGTACATTTCGAAGAACTTTATCTATGTAAAATGTGTTTGAACTTTTTTTTTTTTTTACAAAAATGATCAGTGGAAAATGACATGAGGCCATTTCTTATCTTATGTCTCTGATTGGGGCCCAGAAGGAAACGTGTATACAACAGAAAATAATAATAATAATAATAATAATAATAATAATAATAATAATAATAATAATAATCGTTGCAAAATCCAGTTCTTATTCTTTCTTGTAAAACAAATTAATGTTTAAAAAAAAATGTGTGAATTCTTTTAATCAAAAGCACGCTGTGTTTTTTCCAAAATACAAAGTCTTGTCTCTTGAAGTGAAAATCTCAAAAAAGTATGGCACATGAAGACATCAATAATTCCAGTTGTAGTTGGAGCACTCAGATTGATTGGAAAAAGTTCTGATAGACTTACTGAAGGAATCCCTGGAAGCCCATGCCTTAAAGAAATACAAAAAATTGTACACTTAAGTACATTTCGAAGAACTTTATCTATGTAAAATGTGTTTGAACTTTTTTTTTTTTTTTTACAAAAATGATCAGTGGAAAATGACATGAGGCCATTTCTGATCTTATGTCTGATTGGGGCCCAGAAGGAAATGTGTATACAACAGAAATATAATAATAATAATAATAATAATAAAAACACTAAATTTAAACCATACAAACGGGTCATTATCATTGAGACCAATCAACATCAAAAATGGTATCTTCCAAGGGGATTCATTGTCACCATTATTCTTCTGTCTTGCATTAACGCCACTCAGCTGCCTGCTAAATAACAGTAGCCACGGAAACAAGTTACAGAATGGAAAACTGAAACACCTTTTCTATATTGATGATCTCAAAACGTTTCCCAAGGATGACAACCAGCAGAAAAATCTACTCACCATTGTCAAAACCTTCAGCGAAGACATTAGGATGGGCTTCGGAATCGACAAATGTGTCAAAGCCACCTTCAAAGGCGGTTAACTTAGGAAAACTACGCATTTAGACGTTGATCTCAACATAATTAAGAAACTAGACCAAGATTGTACAAATACCTAGGAATTAATGAAAGAGGTAGAATACAACATTCAATTATGAAGAAAAAGATCCGAAAAGAATATTATAAGAGAGTGCCTTTGATACAAGAAAGTGAACTTAATGAAGCCAATAAAATGAAGGCTGTCAACATCTTAGCTATACCCGTAGTAACATACAGCTCCAACATTATTAAATGGAAGTTGAATAGCATTAAAAGATCGGGCGGTAAGACCAGGAAAATGCTTACCCAAACGAAGATGCACCACCCGAAATCAGATTTTGATAGGCAGTACTCACCAAGAACTTTAGGGGGCCGACGTCTAATCCAATTGGAAGTAAATAAAAAGTAAAAACTATAACAATTGTATTGGTAGAATAGCTTACAAAAGTCAATGATCGTCTCTTGCAAATAGTAAAACACTAAATCCATTCCATCAACTAAAGAAGATGCACTCTTCAAGAAACAGCTTAATGTTCCTGAAACTCTACCAAAAAAACGAAGCGAATGCCATCTACGCCAAATGAATAAAACAGTGAATCAACATGGCCAAATGAAATTAGAAAAAAATTGGGAGGACAAATCGTCGCATTACAAATATTTAAAAAAAAGATCAAAAGAAGTAGATGTGGATCAAGAGAAAATCCATCAGTGTCTGAGAACTAGGTTGAAAGCTGAACCAGAATTGCAACCCAGGACCAACGCCCAGCAACCAGATCCTATCACTGTCACAGAATCAAGGATAGAAATTAACCGAAATGCAGGATATAAGGAAAATATAATGAAACTGTCGACCATTTTATCTCAAGATGTCAGGAACTAGCAAAAAGTGAATCTACCCACAGGCATAACAAGGTAGCGACATATGTGCACTGAAAGATATGCAAGAAACACAAAATCAAAACCATTGAAAGATGGTATGACAATTAACTAGACACAGTTACCTAAAATAACCATGTAACTATTCATTAGTACATACCAATTCAAACTGACAGTGAAATAAATGTCAATATACCTGATATTATATATATCAGGAAATGTATGCTTATTGACATAGCAGTACAATCTGAGAGAAACACCCCCATGAAAATTATCGAGAGATTGTCCAAATACAAGCACCTGGAGATCGAGATTAACCTGTAACTGTAACGGCATTCACCCGGGGTGGGTTGAGCCGGCTCCAATATTGGAGTTTCATGGGAATTTGTAATCCACAAGCGGTCCCCAACCTGCATGTATAGCACATGAGATTTGATTATAGTGGTGAAGGTTTCGTGCATGACCATCCACACTTTTTGAAGTGCCGATTACAGAGATCTGGTGCACTACCTGCCACAAGGTCCCCAAACGACCCTCCGCAGGTTTTGAATTCAGAGTTGTCCTTCTCCTAGACCAGTTGCCATCCAAGGCTATAGAACCCAGTTTGTCTTGCTATTTACCCATAGCTGGAGGGAAAAGAAGAGGATTCACACCTTTCCCAAGGGTATTAACACGTAAGTGAATGTAATGGATTCGACTGGAATTCCTCAATCCAAGCCGCTATCCATTACTCCACCGTGCCCTCTTACGGTCAAATCACGCTGAAAACACCGGTTCTCGTTCGATCACCGAAGTTAAGCATCGTAGAGCCAGGCCTGTACTTAGATGTGGGGATCGAGATTAACATGATGTGGGGAATGAAGACTGAGACTGTACCAATAGTAAGCGGAGTACTAGGCCTCGTCAGAAAAGGAATGGACAATTTTACTAATAGTGTCCCAGGTAATATCAACATACAAGCTGTCCAGAAGATCGCCCTAATAAGAACACCCCATATACTAAGAAAAGTGCTATCAATTAAATGACAATTACCCTATAGGGTCTACGGAACATAGTTTGGACCCAGCTCTATAGAATCAGAAACATTTGGAACATGAAGACATCAACAATTCCAGTTGTAGTATCGTTCACACATTACGAAGAGATTTATGTATGTAAAATATGGGCGATCTCCGTTTTTTTTCTTAAAAAACTGGTCAGTGGAAAATGTCATGATGCCATTTCTGACCTTAGGTCTCTGGTTGGGACCCGGAAAGAATTGAGTACGCACCAGAAATCAAAGGAAATAATAATAATAATAATAATAATAATTTGAACACAACCCAGATCCGGTTACAGAGATAGGACCTGTACTCATTTTATAGGGCTTTACTTCTGTCTGTGTTTTTATAGGACTTTACTTTATTTTATAGGACTTTACTTTAGAAGAATGAAAGCTAATCGCCCAGACATCAAGACTGCAAAGACAAAAAAAAAGATCTTCAAAGATACATTGCAGTTTGCAGAGACTGTCGTGACAGTCTCTGCAGACTGCAATGTATCTTTGAAGATCTTCAAAAAACTATCAAAATACCTTGAAATCAAAATCTCAAAAATGTGATACATAAAGACATCAACAATTCAAGTTGTAGTTGGAGCCCTCGGATTGATTAGAAATGATTCCGATTGAAGGAATTCCTTGTAGCCCATGCCTTAAAGAAATACAAGATATGTTCTCATAAATACAGCCGACACCTTACGAATTTTAAAAAAATGTGTGATTTTTTAAAATTTTTTTTCCAAAAATACTCAGTGGAAAATGTCATGATGCCATTTCTGACCTTAGTTCTGTGGGTGGGATCCGGAAAGAAATGAGTATACATTAGAAATCAAAGGAAATAATAATAATAATAATAATAATAATAATAATAATAATAATAATAATAATAAACGTCTGCTTTTGCTGGCAGCGGAATAGTACTCTTAGTGATGTTCATTTTTTTTTTTTTTTTTTTTTTTAAAAACTTTATCAACCACAAGAATTAAAAGAATATTTCAGAAGTCACCTCAAAAGGGTGTTGGCTCCTAACAGATTAGACATGGCCACTCATTCGGTCCACCTCGAACCTTCTTTTTAATGTTTCATTAGCCGCTATCTTGCGAAGAGTAATTAACACATTCAAGGCAGTTTCCTTGCAGAGAAGGTTGGGGAAGAAAGGATTTATAAAGGAAATCTTTTCGTAAATGGTCACCTCCTTTTTTTTTCTTGAAATGTCTTTAATTTTCTTTTTACGTTCAATAAGTTCAATAAAATGACAATTATTAATTAGTTAGATATTGTATCTTTCGGAAATTAAAAAAAAAAAATAAAGGCCATAACATTGAAAAAAAAGTCAAGAGAAAGAAAGTTGAGAAAATGTTAGTTTGGATATTAGCGTTTAGACATCTTTTTGTTCATGGTCCCTATGCGTAATATTGTCTTAAGCGAAAAAGACTGTCCTTTTGCCCGTCCTTGCAAATTCTAAACAAAAAGCCGATAGCTGATAACATTAAGACAAAAGAAAATATAAAATACAGGATTAGAAACAAGAAAGAAAGAAAGAAAGAAAGAAAGAAAGAAAGAAAGAAAGAATAATGAATGATAGAAAGAAAAAAGAAAGAAAGAAAGAAATAATAATGAATGATGGAAAGAAAGAAAGAAAGAAAGAAAGAAAGAAAGAAAGAAAGAAAAAAAGAAAGAAAGAAAGAAATAATAATGAATGATGGAAAGAAAGAAAGAAAGAAAGAAAGAATGAAAAAATGTAAAAAGAAGGAAGGTAAAGAAAAATAAAGAATAAAAGAAGAAAAAAAGGAAAAAGAATAATGAAGGACCTAAAGAAAAAGAAAGAAGAATAAAAACGGAAAAAAGAAACCTAAGAAAGAAAAGGAAGAATGTAAAAGAAAAAGAAATAAGGAAAATGAAAAGAAAGAAAGAAAGAAAGAAAGAAAGAAAAAGAAAGAAAGAAAGAAAGCAGGAAAGAGAAAAAACGGAAAAATGAAGCTAAGAAAGAAAGGAAGAATAAAAAGAAGAAATAATGAAATAAAGAATAAAGAAAGAAAGAAAGAAAGAAAGAAAGAGAGAGAGAGAGACCGGAAAAAAAGAAGGAAGCTAAGAAAGAAAGGAAGAAATACGGAATAATGAAAGAATAAAGAAAGAATGAAAAAAGAGAACAACGCAATAACGAAAAAGTAAAAGAAAAAGTAAAAAAAAGTAAAGAAAGAAAATAGAAGATGAAGAAAGAAAAAGTCTGCGAGGGAAAAGTAAAGTTAGGAACTAAAGAAGGAAATAAAGGAAAAAGAAGTAAAGAAAAAATACACAGAATTTGAATAAAGAAAGTAAAGAAAAAAGAAGTAAAGAAAGAAGTAAAATAAAGAAAGAAAAAATAACTGATGAGAGAAAGAAAGTAATGACAAACGAAAGAAAGAAAGAAAGAAAGAAAGAAAGAAAGAAAGAAGGAAGGAAGAAAGAAAGAAAGAATGAAAGAATAATGAATGATGGAAAGAAAGAAAGAAAGAAAGAAAGAAAGAAAGAAAAAAAAAAAAATGAAAGAATAATGAATGATGGAAAGAAAGAAAGAAAGAAAGAAAGAAAGAAAGAAAGAAAGAAAGAAAGAAAGAAAGAAAGAATAATGAATGATGGAAAGAAAGAAAGAAAGAAAGAAAGAAAGAAAGAAAGAAAGAAAGAAAGAAAGAAAGAATAATGAATGATGGAAAGAAAGAAAGAAAGAAAGAAAGAAAGAAATAATAATGAATGATGGAAAGAAAGAAAGAAAGAAAGAAAGAAAGAAAGAAAGAAAGAAAGAAAGAATGAAAGAATAATGAATGATGGAAAGAAAGAAAGAAAGAAAGAAAGAAATAATAATGAATGATGGAAAGAAAGAAAGAAAGAAAGAAAGAAAGAAAGAAAGAAAGAAGTAAAGTAAAATTAAAAAGGAAGAAATAAGGAAGAAAATAAAAAAATGGATGTACATACGGAAGGAAGAAAAGAACGAAAGAAATAAAAAGACTTAATGAAAAAAGGAAGAAAAAAGAATGAATGAAATTAAACCTAGAAGAAAAGAAAGAAAATAATAAGAAGAAAATAAAAAAATGAAAAATGGAGGCAAAGCATGAAGGAACTAAGGAAGGAAGGAAAGGAAGAATTAAAGAAGCAAAGAAAGAAAGAGAAAAATGGAAAAAGGAAAAAGAGAAGGAAAGAGAACGAAAAGAAAAGAAGGAAAATGTAATAAATAAAGAAAAGAATTAATAAAAGGAATGAGTTATTAAAAAAGAAAAAAGAATCAAATGACAAATAAATACAGAAGGAAGAAAGTAAAACAAACGAAAGAATAAAAAAACAAGTAAAAATACAATTAAAGATAAAAATCAGTAAAAATAGAAAGAATGAATTAAAGAAAGAATTACAGAAAGAAGAGAAGAAATATTGTAAAACAGGTGAGGAAATGAAGAAAGAATTAAAGAAAGAAAAGTAGAAAAGAAGGAAAAAAGAGGAAGAAGAAAAGAAGTGGGGAACTAAAGTAGCGAGAAAAGAAGGAAGACGTGAAAGAAAGAAAATATTTAAGATTGAGAAGGGAAATTCTGTTGTGAAGAAGAACGAGATAAAAGAGGTGAAAGAAGACAAGATTGAAGAAGAGAAAGAGAACTTAGGAAGAAGAAAATCAAAGAAGGAAACGTAGAAAAAAACTAAACGAAGGAAGCAGAATCAAAAATGAATGTGAAGAAAAGGAAAGAAAAAAGAAAATGAAAATGAAAAATATTAAGAAAATCAAGTTATGAAGAATCCAAAGGAAAGCGAACAAAGGAGCAATAAATAACAAAATAAAAGAAGAGAAACTAATATATGAGAAGAAGAAGAAGAAGA